ATCGTAAGAATGCATAGGCATTCTTCTGACACTGACGTTTCTATACACTTATAAGCAAACTTTGATACAATTCAATTTTGAAACATTTTTTGTAATCCAGGCTCAAGTGGAATCGGTATTATGGGTTGCCTATTTTAAAAACACAAATGGGTCATTTTAGCTGAATAACCCTGTATACAAGTCTGGAAATCGAGGTCATTCACGGGACTCTGAGACTCTTTCAAATTACTTCAAAAACACGACAAGGGAGTCCTTAAGTTTCTTTCAAACTACTTCAAAAACAATACACAGAAATATCCCAGAGATTCTTTCAAATTACTTCAAAAACATCACGGATCGCAGGATTTCAGATTCTTTCAAAGTATTAAAAAAAAACACACACCAAGATGTCCCCGAAGTTATTTCAAACTACTTTAAAAACCAGACACAAGAAGTCCTAGAAATTCTTTCAAACTACTTCAAATACAAAATAAAAGGGGTTCCCGAAGTTCTTTCGAACTTCTTCAAAAACGATACACAGAAATATCCTCGAGATTCTTTCAAATTACTTCAAAGACATCATTGTCCACGGGACTTTGAGATTCTTTCAAACTACTTCAAAAGCAAAACACAAGGGATGGGTGGTAGTTACATCTGAAAATCGGGAATTTTCCAGAGCTGTCAGTAGCCATGTACATCAAAGTGCCACTGTCCGAATCCAAATTTTATATGTATGTATATACTTTTAAATGAAATAAAGTTTCGTCCTTTCAGGCGTCTGTCTAAATTTTTCCCGAGCTGGTTCACCAGGTCCCATCCGCTCCTAAAGGTCAGTATTCAGTCGATCTTACCTAAATTTCTTCATCAATTAATATCTAGAAAGCTAAAATTAGCATGTAAACACGTGATTGCTGATGCACAAGATGAAGCACCCGATACAGGGTTTCTACATATATATAAATGATTTATAGGGTCGCCATAGGTCATGTAAACGTGCCGCCTCTCCGATTTAACTGTACGGAGATCCGTACTAAGTGCCCAAGGACGCATGACAAGCATCACACATGTGTATAACTGGTTGCCTAAATGATTCACATCTTTTTAAAAAATAAAACTAATTCATTACGATAAAAAGAAACAAATTTATCGCGGTTAAACATCAGAGTAAATGTTGAAAATGTTCATCATTCTGTTCAACGCACATGTTCACTCTCTTTTTAATTTCAAAAATGTTCTGTAACATCCTTTCGTCAATACTTTGGACCCGTTGTTCAGTTGTTCAATTCTGCTTAAGTCGTCTCAAATCATCAACAATTGCCCCAGATGAAGTCTTCTACGAGATTTCTCTTTGATGATACTGCCAGTTTGAACAAATCTGTTGATTACACCTCTAGTGTGGGCCTTTAACGATCTTCGTTTACGAAGTCCCATTGCGATAACAAGACATAACGATGAAAATGTCTTGTTCAACAGAATAAGCCATTTTCACAGTCTTCGCTTCATAGCACAAAAAACAAAATTTTCGTACGCAACCACCAAGAGTCCTGAAAATGATGTTTTGAGTTTCGATCAACGAGAATTACTGTAAATCGCACTTGAAAAACATTAAAACAATAAAAACGACGACTTTACATGACAGGTTACAAATAACATAATCATGGGCATAATTTCAGCGAAGTGGGGTTTTTGAAATCCATGGCCAACTACGCCCTTAGAACCATTTATAAAAGACCTGTAGAATAAACACTAGGATCTTAATATACAAACTAAAAGCGATACATTTTGGGAGCATGGTAGTTAGTTGGATTAAAAGCTTTATGATGAAGGAATCCGAATTCATAAAGTTCAGAAATTACACTTCAGATCCAAATGATATTAAATCAGGAGTTTCTCAGAGATCCCACCTTGGACCATTCTTATTTAATTGCTTCATCAACGACTTTAACCTGTTCGTGCAATTTTAGAAACTACTCTTATTCGCAAATGACATGTAACTTTTTAGAAAGGTGTTTCCAAATGAAAGCAGTATCTCTTCCAAAGAGATTTAGACCACGTAGATGAGTGGAGTGATTTAAACTATAGATTAATAACATTCTAAAATGCGTATTTTGGTTAATAGATCATCAAAATTATTTTCATTTAGCTCACATAAACAAGGTAACATTATAAGATCCATTTTAAAATATGCTAGAATCATCTCTCCCCTATGTACCTACTTAATCTATATTAAAAATGTTGAAGACTTTTTCTTTTGGAAGTGGAAGTAGAGAGAAGATGATCAAATAAGAGCTACTTTGATAGTAGAGATCCTTAGAGAAATTAGAAGGTCAAAAATTGCGCTGTTTTTTTTTCTTTAGGCTTGTTAATAATGCCACTTGCTGTCCTGAATAGTAGTTATTTAGTTTCAACTGCCCTAAAAAAATACTAAGAAGCAATCCGACGATCTTCACTCAGTTGCACCTGGATTTTCGTCATCAATTGCCAGAATTACTCGGGAGACAAGTTCGTATTAACATTGAATTATTTAGTTTACACTTAGTAAGATTTAAGTCAAAATTGCAGCAAGTGCGTGGGATAATAATATGATAGTAAGTTTTGTTTCAATACTGATAATTAAAATTTTCAACATGTTTATGAATATTTTATATCAGAAGAATTGAATTTAAAATTCTGAAGGGACGTTTGTCCAGGCAAGCCTTCGGATAGATTGATAGATTTTGGGGGTTATAAACGGATAATGTTTTTTTTTTGAAAGGGATGGAACAGAAGATTCAGTACACTAAAGAAGCAATGATTTGGTACCTGGGAATCGAAAAATTGAACTTTTGAACACAAGACTAGTTTTAGGTTGACATGACACGACATTGACCCCATGTTGAGATTTTTGCATTTTGTGACTGAAATTTTTAAATGCGTTTGCTATTGGATAATTCGAGGGTTGTTTGGGCTTGAATACAGGGAATTGTGTCAAAAAAGTACCAACGAATTGGTGTTGGAAAGTTTTCAGTGAACAGAGAAGATCTCAGGCGACGAAGTCTACTTCTTCTTTAGTTGTGGGTAACTGTTCTAGCAATAAAGAAAAGCATGGAATTCTAAGCGGGTAAGAACTTGGACATCTGTCTTTAATTTTGAGAAATTTGGGATTGATATTAAGATCTTAACACGGGTACAAGAAAATCTGTGTTTGGAAAATTGAAGGGTTTTTTGAGAGATATCATCTACTGTAGAAGGGACGATCGTTATAAAACGGCTGCGTTCCCCTTAGAATTACACTTATGATCGCTGACGCAATTGCACCGAATGACGCAATTCCTTCCGCGAAGAGCGAATTGCGCGGAAAGCCTCAATTCACCCAACCCGTGACGAGAAGATCCCTATTATAATACCTTCTAAGCTCACCCTCAGGAAGCAAAAACCGACATTTTCGCAAAAAAAGATTCTAAATATTTGAAATTTTGACGTTTCAATTAAACAGTCATTCATCGTAATAGACAAACTTCAATAATGCTGCCATAAAGCCATAAGAACTGCAATATTTAGGATTTCTAGGAAAAGAAAAGTGCTTGGATTGCGGACCTGTTGAGCCCAAAATAAATTAAATGATAATCGATTTTTTCTGAAAAACGATCATTTCTTTTACTATTTTTATTATAATCAAAAACATCAGAAAGATCTTCATCCTAATATATCTATGTATTATAGAAATCCATTTTTGTTGCAGCCACAAAGCAATAAATTCACGTTATTTGCTTTTCTTGAAAAAATTATAAGAATCGCAAATTTAAAAACTGATTCATATCCAGTTATGCAACATTTTTTTAATCCCGGTTAGTCCATAAATTTAAAAGTGTTAGGATGCTAATGTACTTAAAAACTGTCATTTAGTTGTGTATAACATTATACATATAAGTGTTTCGTTGACAGACAGTAGTTTTTGATTTACAGAAAAACATTTTTTTTTCAGATGGTAAGCCACACCCAATCATTCTTTATTTTGTCTCCGCCCTTGAAGAAGTTTAAAAGTGACCTAGAACGAAATTTAAAAACAAAATTTCGTGATCCAAGACGAAATCGTGATTTCACGTTTAGTTTTTATTTTACCATTTGTGGAAGAAAATGTTGCTTCTATTTAAAACAGATATGGCACGATAATCGTTGTACAGCGCTTAGTCTAAGGAAAAGCAGGCAATAAAGATAAAGATAATTTGCTACCTTAAATTTTAAAACAAATCTAATATATGGTATGGTAGCAGATTTCAGCGCAAACTTTAATAAGAAATTCGTCGTTTTGTAAATTCATTGTGTGAATTACCACATGTAAGAACCTCGTATTATTAATCTCTGCTTACACTAGTGTTAAGAAGTATTCATAAGTTGCGTTGTGCAAAAACGTATTTTAAAACCTCGTCTTGTAAACTTGCAAAACATCTCCGTTAGAAGTGTTTCAAGAAGCCGTAAGCAAAGCCGTGATTTTTTCCGCACGAACAAAGTACAATTTCATACTCCTAGCACGAATATATTCTTGACCATCCTTCAAACGAAATGGCCAGAGATCTTCATGTTTACAGATAACTCTATTTATCTCGTAGGAATAAAAAAACAAAATCGTTAGTTTTCATATCAAATGTTTCACTGGCTTTGTCAGCCTAACAAAAGAGAATGTGTCTCCGAGGACTCAACAACTGAAATAAGTAGAAGCGGATTCGCCTACTTACTTGATTTAGAACTGAACTTTGTGTAAAGTTTACACAGAGTTATTCCAATTCGGAAGTACATCTTAAATTGTAATTACTTTGTGCATATTTAGTGGATACCGCGTGTTTTTAACGTCCTCTGGGAGGAAATGAATCAGTCCGGTGTCTTCGTATTTTACTTTGACTTTATTGGCTAGTTAATTTGCTCCAACCTCGATTTAAATCTCTGCTGAAACTTCACTAATAGGCAGAGGCTCGACACGCGAAATTCACTGATTCTCTCACTTTTTTATTTTTCCTTTTAAATTGTTTAAAAAGAATGCTTACCTTTTTCGGACGAGGGACTCCGGGCTGTGCGAATGCGGGTATCTGCGAACAATAAACTTTGCTAAGTGGGAATGTTCAAAGAAAACTTCTAATTTATACCAGCAATTATGCAGTCTTTACAAGCGTTAATAAACAAAAAAAGGAAAAATTCCGGCTGAAATTTATCGCGAGTTTTTTTCGTGAAATTAACTGGTTTAAGGAACCAGAAGTTGATTAAAAATTAATTTATTTTGGCGCTTTTGCCCATAAACCACAAGTTTTTTCTGTACGAGTCCAGCGTCCGACAAAATTTATTGTTAATTTATAGCCGTCTCTATTAAGTCGATAATTATTATTTTACAAGAAGCTGTGGTGGATTTTATTTATTTCGCTCATTTATTTAAAAAACCCGCAGCAGCACTGTTGGACCGCATCAGTCACAATGTTGTATTTAAATTTTAACGACCTGTCGCCAGTTAAAATGGTTGGAATTTTTGGAATATCGATCAGCATTATTTTGTTATTTATGTAGATGATGAACATTTCTGTTTTACGTTTAATTCGTGTTCATTGGTGGCTCATTTGTTTACATAATTATGTAATCTGTATTATCAGCAGGGGAGACTTTCAAGTCTCTTCTAGACAATAGATGCCACTAAGTTACAATGTTATAACATTAAAACGACTCCCCTGAAACCTTAAACTCTGATTAAAACGCTTACTCACAAATGTGTCGTCATAATCTAACAGTATAAAAAATAAAAGCTTGAAACAGAAGCATTCATCAGCGTAATTTCTCCCTTTAAAAATGAATCTGTTACTGAATCAATTAATATGCATTAAGAACAATGTCTAGATAACTTCCCCAGTCATTAGTGCCTCATTCTATTCTTGTCTAAAACAACAAAGAAAATTATTATTAATTGTACTGCATTGAAGAGTTCTTTTTCATTTACGTCGACAGCAGCATCGCGAGATATTTTTAATAATGGAACCTGCTTTAGACTGATCGAACTTATCTTACGGCATATTTGAGTCAAATGGTATCATTAAAAATAATTGTTGTACGGTTTTGTGCCTTTTGCTTTGATCTTTCTGTTGATAGCGCCTTTCCGAATTTGCAGACATCATACGATAAATAATTTCCAAAACACGCCTTCTAATGGGAAGCGGATGTAATCTTTTTAAGTCTTACCGATCACCAAAGGCAATGTTAAAATGAGGAATTGGCGGTTTGCTTAATGATTCGTTTTATTGCCTTTGATGCCGGAAAATAAAGTGCCTGTGTATAATGAAGTTACTGTGTGCTATGTGCTTGTTCAGCCTGCTAGACTTTCATTTTTATTCCATTTGATCCGGGCTGCTGCTGAAACAAACACTAAATATTTGAGTAACTCTGTACCGCATTAATTAACCGTAATGAGAGCTAACCGTATTTTTTAGTGTAATTATGTATTTAACACACTAACTCTTTTTTGAAAATTTTGTTGAAAGGTTTGTAAGTTTGTATGCAGTGTTTATGATGATGAAAAATAATCGGATTGGCACATTTTTGTTCTAACGGTTTTTTTTTTTAATTTTTATGGTGCTGTCCACCTTTCTGTCTGTATGTCTGTCTGTCTGTCTTTTAATATTCTAAAACAACAAAAATTAAACATCCTGATAGTGAAAGTACAGTGTTCATGACATAGACCCATTGACCTACTCTTCATGAACTAGGATCTTCACCGTTAAGTGATGGTACAATGTACCATCAGCATCGGTGGTTCAGTGGTAGAATGCTCGCCTGCCACGCGGGCGGCCCGGGTTCGATTCCCGGCCGATGCAACTTTTTTGGTCTTCTACTTTATATTTTTAAATTTACAGTCAACGTAATTGTATTATTCCTTTGGTGGTAATAAAGATATGTTAATGGGGCGTTGATGAAGGTGTAGCGAAAGTTATATACCCGCTGCTTTTTCCAAGGATAGAAAAAAATGTATAACTGAAAGCACTGAGTAATGTTCGGATGCGTGAGAGTCCCGCGGGAATCGTAAATACTTACTTTATAGTCCATCTAATGAATTAGAAGTATATGACTTTTAAAATAACGCCAAAATTATTATCATAATTAATTTTAGGCTGGAATTTAAATAAAGCGTCAAGGTGGATCCTTGAACTGAGCATCAGAGGGGTTTTGACTGGCTTTCAAATAAAGCAGAGAGGTTAATTTGAAAATTCGTCTAAGTTCGATCACAGCCTGATGGTACTAGTTTTTGAGCAAATAATAAAGTGTTAAATGAAAATGGTAGCTGCCTTGACAAAGATGATATACTTATTTAGTAGTTTTGATTACTCTGTTGTTTCTGCCACATATTGAGAGGTCAAAAATTGAATTATAAGTACGGTAAGGTAATATTTACTTTGCAAGTGTGTAACTGAAATTTACACTATTGTTATTTTCTGCCAATTTTCATTACTCAATAATTTAAATGTTACCTCGTTGTTTTGTGTGATTTCTGCCGGCTGCACTCATTGAGAACTGTTTAAATTCTGAATAATGTACTAAAATTGGAAATAGTAATTAAGCTGTTTAGCCTCAAAATATAACATGACGTGACGTAGCAGCTATATTGATGTGGAATGGGTTTTATGTTGCACAATTATTGCAAAAACTTGTTGGTGGCATCCTCTTAAGTGGTGGCTTTGTCGTCTTTGTACGATTTTGTGGTCACCAGCAGCTTCCGATGTAATTGATCTCTTTGGCAATTTCAGACTATTTTTTTCTTTTTTTCTAAATTTCAGAAATCGTTCTCATAGAGTGCGTTTCAACAGTCTAATTTAAAAATTAAGCGGCAAAACTAATTGAAACAATACGTGTACTATTAGTATGATTAAATAACCATTATTGAAAATTTAATTTGGAAATTTATAACATTTGTGTTTGATAAATATCACAAATACCTAATTAATGCATTTGAAATTATTTCAGCAGACACTTATGTTTGCCAAGAAGAGAATCAATATATTAATGAATAAATAGACATATTTACCTCATATTAAATGTACAGAAAAAGGTACAATCGGATATGGAATTATTATTTCCTAAACTTTGCTCCACTAAAAACAATTCCCAACAATCGATTTCTTGATTTGATTTTTACCAACCGATTTAAAAATCAGTCCTGCGATGGATCCTATACTTTCGCAAAAAAGTCAACTTACTCTAAGCTGTTGGATTATTATTCATTTGTCAACGAGTCCTTTACAAACAGAGCCAAAGTTGATTCTATTTGTGCCGCTTTTGCGAAACTGTTTGATCGAGTGGATCACAATATACTGATTCTGAAATTGCATAAACTTAGTTTAGATTGATCGGTTGACTTAATTTCTAATAGACTATGTTTACAGTCCGTTGAAAGTTACATCCGGGGTACCACAGAGTTCCTATTGTGGCCCAATTTTATTATTATTTTTTATAAATCGCTTAAGCCATTGGTCATGTTAAGATTCCTGTTGTCCAAAGAAAATACCATGTGAAAATGTACCTTTGATTCAACAACCTTGAGAGGTACTTTTGTATTGTCTGCAAAATTTGAGGAGAATTAGATCACTGGTTTTTGACTCCCGCATTTTTTTGTTGAGACATCTGTTTACGGGGCCATAAATTTCCATCGAGATTTACCTAGCAAAATTTTGAAATGACGTCATTAACGAAAGACTGAATAGATGAATTCTCATGATATTCTTAAAAACACATCCAAAATTTTGCAACAATCAGTTGAGAAAATTTTGAAGATTTATCTCTTACCGACATAAATGGGAAATATATTTATTTCGCAAAATTACCTTAAAAAATTGTAACGAAGCGAATTTTCGCGGGCCGAAAACCGTGACGCGTACCGCGAGAGCCGGGGGTAACTGGTGGCAGGGAATAAACCCGATTATTTATTGTAAAATATCTCTTGCCGTTTTATTTTAATTTCTTATTTTCGTTGGCGCTCACCACTTGATATCCGTGTCTCCGATTTTAGAGCAACCCCGGCGCTCCCTCCCCCGGAGGAAGTCGCTTGATAAGCTTAGATCGGCCAGACGTGTTTGTTATATCAGCGACACTAGTGGGCCCAAAGGTTGGCACCCAAGTACGCCGCCACCACACGTTATCGGCGAAATTCCGGACCGTCACTGTCCGTCACACCGGAATTTAACAAATTAGTTAAAAAAAATTGGTGAAAGGTGGTTTCGACAGAACTTCTCTCGCATCTGAAATACAATGAAATATATCCAGCATTTTCTAAAAACCGTAAAATTTTCTATTTTGTAGTCCCTAATGGATTCATTCATTAACATTTTTGAGTTCCTTGTATAAGAAAATCTAAAAAACATTAATGCAATGATAAATCACAAGTATATATTTTGCACGTTTAAGACAGGATATTTATTGGGCAAAATTTTTAGATGACGTGATACATTTTTTGGTGGGGACAAACAGATTCATTTTGACTAAAAATTTACTTCAAAACGTCTGCAAAATTTTTGTAGTTCCTTATTTAATCAATGAAATAAATTTACTCATTCATTAATTTTTTTTAGTCATCTGTATAAGCAAATCTAAAATTTATGAATTGAATTGAATCACAATTATAGACTCATCATATTTTACATATTTTAGATCGGATTTATTCGGGAAAATTTTGAAATGATGTCAACGGTTTTTTTTTGGGAGAATAAGCAAATATATTTTGATTAAAAATTTATCAAGCTGATAATAACTTTAAAACATCTGCAAAATTTTAAAGCAATCGATTTTGCAGATTCAAATTTAAATTGCAAACTGTTATATAAGTAATTTTGTTTTTTTTTTAATCTAGACGTTTCGGGTAAAAATTCAACACGGATTCATAAACTACACGTGTAGTACTATGTTATTTTATACGCTTCAAAACCCATTTACTATGTGCAATTTTGAGATGACGTCATCACATTATTGGTGGAGATGATTTGACATAGTTTGGTTAGCATTTTGTCATCTACATGATGCACATAAAATTTGACAATCGGTTCAGTAGTTTTGGGAAATTATC